TCTTTTTGGTTGCTGGGTATGACATGGCTTAGGAGATCGTAGCCAAAATATAGGGCTTGGGTTTCATCAAAAAGGAGAAAGAGTAGGTCCAGAAAGTGTGAGAAAGAGAGAGAGACTGCGTATAAAGTTGTGAATCTATATGTACAGGGGCCAGAGGGATATAATTTGAAGCTCACAGAGATGGAGAGGAGGATTGCTAGGGTTAGGCCTCCTTACTCTGTTAATCCAAGTCACACACACAGAATATCAGGTGGCAATGGGTAGCCCTGGCCTTAGTCCTTACAGGGCCGAGGCCTATCCCTATTAGGGCTGAGCAGGGTCAGGGCGGGCCAAATTTTAGTAAAAGAAAAGAAGAAGAGTAAGAATAAAAGGGCCGAAGCCAAATCAGGATGGCCCTGTTGCGGAATTGGCCCAACCCTAGTTCGCCGTACCCTCAAGCCGTGGTAGCCCAGCCCTCTAGTCTGCCCTACCCGCAGGTCGTGGTAGCCCGGCCCTCACGCCACATTTTGTGGCCCAGGACCTATTTTTTGGGGCCTATTGCCAACCCCATGGGAGGTGAGGGGGTTCGATAGGATTTCCATTTTTTGTTTTCAAATTTTTGGCTTAGGATGTTCTAATCAAATAAATTTTAAAAATTTAATTTATTTAATTAAGCGAGAAGATAAAGAGACTCCTTGCTTTGCAAGATGGTCTGCCTCCATTTAATGATATTAAGAGGATTCCCTTCAATTAAAACATCCCCTGAGAAGCCTCTATCTAAGAGAATTCCCTTCAATGAAAACATCCCCCGAGAAGCCTCTATCAATAATAATGTATTCCTTGTAGAAGAGAAAAGGTGTTTACTTGATTAGCCGTGGTAGAATCGCAAGGCCCAACATAATAAAAAAGAATAGTACCATCATGGTTTCAAAGCAAACCACTAACATCAGCAGACTCTGGATTGCCTAAAGAGTTGCTATCAAATTTTAGTTTTAGACAACCCATTGGGGGCAAATTCCAAACCAAATGAGAAGGGCCCAAATAAGGAAATGATGAAGCTAAATTATTTAGGTTTACAAAGGTATTAGCATGTGAAACACCACGACCCTCTGACGTGGAAGAGAACTAATCCCATAGTGACTGAAGAATCCGATCTTTAATTTCTTTTGATCTAAAACAGATCCCATCAAATGTTCCCATGTTACATTCCAACCATATATGCCATATTATAGCACTCCTGAAAATTTTCCAAATGATGACACCTCTCTTAAATAGACTTGCAGTACATAGATGGTTAAGAATTCCAAGGAGATTCTCTGGTAGCATAAAGAATAGTCTCATGTTATTAAAAGCCCAATGCCAAATATTGGAAGCAAAATTGCAATGCTAGAATTGATGACAACCAGTCTCCTCACCACATTTGCACATAAGATAGACATTCGTAAGAATTCTACCTCTTTTACGCACATTATCAAGTGATGCATTTATCTTGCATAGTCACTTATAGGAAAGCTTGTATTTTGACTAGAACTGGCCATTTCCAAATCAAACCAAAGGTACAATTAGTCCAACAAACACAGACATGATAAAGAAGCTTATAGGCTGATTTAATAGAGAACAAGCCATCAAGTTCAGAATCCCAAATAATATCATCTGCAATGTTATGAGAATGGTAGACATCTTTCAAATTTTTAAGTAACTCTTGCATATGCAAAATGATATTATCTGGTAACATGTTATAAATGCACGAAAAAACCCAAACCAAACATCCTATAGTAAGTGTAGCAAGATCTGAGATCTTTGCAGCTGGATGTGTAACCCTGGCAAAAAGATCTGGAAATAGAGAAGAAAGAGATCCCTCACCCAACCATTTATTAAACCAGAAATAAGTATCATCTCCAATTCCAATCAAGCACCGCATATTGCCCGTAACAATTTTTTTGCAGCTAAAGATATCTTTCCAAATCTGAGAAGAGATTTCCCTACCCCGCCTCTTTTGATAGAATAGGAAATATGATCAGCGCCAAATTTAGTAGCCAAAACATTATTCCATAGGTGATTTGAGTCTTGAAAAATCCTTCACCACCATTTAGATAAAAGAGCCCAATTCATAAGCTTCAATTTTTTAATACCAAGCCTACCCAATTTAATTGGTGTACAAATCTTTTCCAAGCCAACTAAATGACATTTCTTATGATTATCATCAACCGTCCCCCAAATAAAGCTACGCATATATCTTTCAATTAACTTTATCACCCCACTAGGCATTTGCAAGATAGACATCAAATAAATGGGCAAATTTGAATAGGTTGATTTCACCAAAGTTATGCAGCCACCCAAAGACAATGTTTTTGTTTTCTATAAATCTAACTTGACTTGATATCTGTGAATAAGAGGATCCCAAACAGCCTGAAAAAGATTTGAATCTGAAATAGAAACCCCTAAGTATTTTAAAGGGAACTTGTCAACTTTGCAACCAAGAATAGAAGCAAGAGAGCCCACCCGATCCCTACTGCAAGAAATACCCACTACAGAAGTTTTATGAAAATTAACTTTGAGACTAAGGGCTAACTGGCAGCAAAAAAGAAAGGTGCTCAACTTTTTTATTTGGCCCTGATTTGCATCACAAAATATCAGAGTCTCATCCCTATACTGCAAATGAGAGATAATTGGTCCATTAGAAGAGACTTGAAACCTTGAAAGAAGACCAGCCCCCACCACATTTTTTAACATCATACTGAATCATTCAGCAACTAGTGTAAAAAGAAAAGGGGAGAGATGATCCCCTTGCTAATACCCCTAGATGCTTGAAAGAATCATTTGGGACTACCATTAATAATGACCGAAAAATGTGCAGAAGATAGACACTCTATAATCCAAGAAATCCACTTAGTACCAAAACCCATCTTTCTCATAATCTCTTTTAGAACTTGTCATTTAACTATATCAAAAGCTTTCTCCATGTCTAACTTGATGAGAACTCCAGCGAGTTCTACAAGCTTCCTAGAGTGAATGCACTCCTGGGTGATGAGAATGCTGTCAGTAATCATACAATCTCTAATAAAAGCAAATTGCTCTCCTGAAACCACAAAAAGAAGAACCACTTTTAACCGCTCAGCAAGGACTTTAGCTATAATCTTGTAGAGGCTCGATAAAAGGCTAATGGGCCTAATATCTCCAATATCGGCAATAACATCCTTCTTCATAATTAAAGAGATGTATGTAGAGTGAATGCCTTTCAGCACTCTGCCACAGCTCATAAATTCCTTGAGGAACACATCTTCTTTGGCCAATCTCCAATACCTATGAAAGAAAGACAACGAAATACCATTTAGTCCAGGTGCCTTATCTCCAGGTAATGCAAAAACTGTATTTTTCACTTCTTTTTCAATGACCTCCTTTTCAAGTTCTAAAACCAAATGATGAAGTAAAATTTTGAAAGGAGAACCATCTAAGATAACTCCCAACTGATAATCACTAGAAAATGATCTAGCAAAATGACTAATAATTGCATTATCTTTGCCTATTGAATCACTTTTCACAACTCCAGGCATATTTAAAGTAGATACGACATTTGGTCTTCTACTAGCATTGACAATAGCATGAAAAAATTTAGTATTTCGACCCCTTCTTTCAGCCATTTAACACATGATCTTTGCCTCCAATAAATTTCTTCCATGCGAAGATAGTCATGTAGTTTATTGAGCAACACATTTTTACTAATGACTTATAAATAATTAGAGTTAAGTTACTTAAGTGGAGTTTATTTGTTAAACAGTTTTTTTTTAATAAGGTTGCGGTTTTTAGAGAGATTGTTCAGAGCCTCAGCTCTATATAAAACTTTTTCCTTTTAATAATATTATAGCAACAATTAGAGTTGCTTTCATTGTTTAAATTTAAAAATTTTCGGGCCTCAAAAGTTTTCTATAAAGTTTATAATTATAAGAATATAATTTTTCAATATATAGATAGTATAAATTTAAATTATAAAATTAAATTTCCTTATTTTCACACAATTCAATTGTATATATTATATTATATTAGATATAATATATAACTGAATGTGCATATATCCAAGTTAGGTTCAGCCTAGACACAAACGCAATTGGGAAGAAGACAGATCCATGATTTCTGACCTGGACCCAATTCTCGGGCTCGGATCTAGACTCAAGCTCTAATGAGGTCGACCCATAAGGTCCAAAACTCAAACCAAGACTTGAAAGCAGGTCAACGTGACTAAATCCCAAGGCCAAGTGTGAATATGAAATTTGTGATGAAAATATAGGTGAGGGTGAAATGAGCTCTATAAAATTTCAATTTGTTTATGGGTTTCTGTGTGGTTTTAGGTAATGGTGGTCAGGATTGTGGGTTGCCACATAATGAGTTTCATTCTTATCATAGGTAAGGGATTCCACTTTCACTAAACTACCGAAATAAATATATAAAATCTCAATGAGGCATATGCTTAGCAATTTCCAATTGATAAAGACTGCGTGAGTCAAAGCTATTAACGTATAATGGCTTTTTTTATTAGTTTTTATATGCATTGACAAATTTGCCATTTATAAAAAAAATTACATAATTTTATTTTTTAAAATTCATATTTATTCTACTTGAATAATTATTTTTAATTCCATACATTTTCTAATACATTAAATCCCAGTAATTCTCTGACAAATTCTCAATAAAAAAAGGCAAACGCACAAAACTCTCCAATGATAATATCCCATAACGATGATTGCCACAAATATTCATTATGCTTTTCATTTGCAAATCCTTTCCACGAGCACAGTGCAGCAGGATCCCGAAAGCCTTTATACTTTCTTAGGTCCCATGGTGGATTGGTGGGGTCGGAGAAAAGGCAATGACAAGGGCCTCCTCTCTGTGAAAGATGTTTTGTAGTTGTAGGTAATGTTTTAGAATCAAAACAAGAATTGAATTGGAATTCATCTCTCCTTTTAGATACATTTTGTTTGCGTCAAATCACCCTATCTTGTGAGCCAACTAGCCTGCCAACAATCTCTTAAAATCACCAATCATTTAATTGAGAATGAAATTAATGAATCAATATACAACATGAGGAAGATGGGGAAGCTTTGAATCCAAAACAAAAATCACCAATTGACAGCGCCATGTATGGCATGCAACATATCCAAAAGGAGCAGAACAGATCCCTCCCCCACCCACAAAAAAAATCTCAAAAAAAATAAAAAATAAAAACAACATAAAAGAAAAAATACTCCCTCCAGCCATTGCTTGTAAACTTGAATTCGAAATCAAGAGACTAATGCAATAGCCATTGGAGCTCCAGAAGAATGAATTTGCCTTTTAAAACCACCACTCAACTCTAATCACCTGTTCCAATCATATGAGCCTCACCCTCTTCTTCAATCCACAAACTTGTGAAGGCCACTGTGTCATGGGTCAGCAACTGGGAAACTGAAATGGCCCCAGATAACAATTTGACGGACCTCAAAGGTGGCCTATTCAAACCTTCTAGGAATTGGAGGACCAAGTAAAAGCACAACCACGCAAATCATGATGAAAATGGCAAATCCCCTGTGCCATCAAAAACCATAGCTAAAGCATTCACACTGGGATTAACCCAAAAAAGATAGATGTGACCTGGGACCACATTGCACTGAACATTCAACTCTTTCATTCAATGTAACTATAACAATGTACACATTTGAATGCACACGTGGATACGTTTCTGAATCATGTAGGCATGTTGGAGAGAGACTGAAAGTATTTTGCAAAATAAACATGGAGTTGCAATTATGAATCTAATAATCAGTGAGAGAGAGTTTGTGGATGTTTGCATGGGGGGAGCATGCATCTTGATGAAAAGAAAGTTCATGACAGATATATCCTCCAACACTATGAACGTGAGATGAGAGAGGTAGATGGATATCTATTCTATATTAGTAAAAGTGAGTTTAAAGGGGAGCTCCAGGGGTGAAAGATGGGTTGCCCATTTGTAAGATTTTGTTCCTAAAAAATTCCCCTTGTTGAATAAGTCAATTCCAAAAAAATGTCTTATTTGAATGGTATTTTGAATTTTTTTATACCCTTATTTTGAGTATTGGGATTTCCGAGATTGAAGCTCCTTCTTGACAACCACATCAATTATAGATACATATAATGTCTTCATAAATATATTGAAAGTTTAAAAATACAATTTTCTGAAAATTTAATACTATTAAATTTTCTGTGCTAGATATTTATTCCCAATTTTTAACCATTTCTCTCATCTATGTACCCATGCATTACAGGGGGTTGAATTGACATATATATATATATATATATATAGTGAGAGAGTGAGAGTATTTTTATTGAATAAACAAATTATTTTGGGAAATTGTGAATGTGAACCAAATTAGAGACACCACGTACACACACACACACGAGAAAGAGAGAGAGAGTGCATATTGATTAAAACTACCAAGTTTGTGAAAGATATACCTTGAGTAATCTTGAAGCAGAACTATATGCGCAGATAACCTGCATTTTGATGTCCACCACCGAGGAGAGTTCTTCTTGAGAAGGATTTTCTGTTCAAGGAGAAGCTCCTCCTCAATGTTCTCCGTCTCCTCCAAGCCGAAATGCGTGTATAGAGAGCCGGGGTACTGAAGCAGAGCAATAGAAGCAGCAGCATTGCAACACATACAAACAGGACATTACGAAACCCATCTTTGAGAGCAGGGTTCTTTTGCTCAGTCCATGGGACACCCCCAACGTTCATTCCAAACACTGATGCCCCAAAAAAAACATACGGAAGATTTTCATATAAATCATGTTCATTTGAAAATTTCAAGTACAATATGCCCAAGCAAAGAAATGCATCAATTGTTTTAGGATTGAGGGAATGTAAAATATTATCAAATGAACTACGAAAAACCAGTACATTGGAATTGTCTCCATCCAAATTATTGATAGCAACGGAGAGAGAGTGAGCATACCACCGTTCATATCAGTTTTGGTCCCGGTCTCTCTCCATCACTATTTATCATTTCATGGAGCAGTGATGACACCAATGAACTATGGTTTCCATAGCCCACAGTATGATGGACTTTCAGTATACTTTCTCTATAATCAAAATGGAGTTCACAGTTTTAGACATTGCTACTCTCTGTTAGTGAACCAGGATCTTACTGCCAGTGATTATGGATAAAGGGAGGAAAATGATGGAGAGGAATGAAAGATAATAGAGTTTCCGGTTTATTTGTGCGGCCTGCCAACTGTCTAGCCCCGCTTGAATTGCAGTCACGCGATTGGCAATGAATCCCACATTTTCTTTTAGCCTTCTAAGCCGACCAATGAGCTCTTCAAGCGCTACAATGTCCTCTGGTGCAAACCAACTCTTGGTGGAGCATTTTTCTTTGACACGAGGGAAGACTTGCTCACCATGAGCAACTACCTGAAACACCATTTAAGTTAACCACTTCAAGCTTGGTTTTTAGGGTTCTGATCAGTTTGTAAATAATCATATTAGAGTATGTGTTTTATAGTCTGATAGAGTATGCTGAATGGTATTTCAAAGAATATCCACCATACATTCGTAATGAAGGAAAGTGTGGCTTGCTGAAACATTTACCCAGGCACACCATCGGTCATCTGCAACGGACAGATGCCCCTTCAAAGTATACAATATGAATCACACTCAATTTGGTATACTGTTCAATCTGATAATTACCTGTAAGAGGCGCTGCAAATTGAGATGCATTTTGGGAAATCTTCGATCATCTAACATCTGTTTCTTTAGAGCAAAACCGCCTGCAAATTCACATAGAAGAGGGTCATGAGGGCAGTTCAATTGGTAGTAATCGTGTAAACAAAGAGGCCGCATTCCACATTTTGTTTAATGCATAACTAGAATATTTCATTCACTGTGCTATGATTCAATGAATCTTAAAATATTCAACATCTGAAAAAGGGATACTTGATTGTTACAACACCCATATAATTTAAATCACCATTGCATAAGAACCAGATAAACAGAACCAGAACTTCCCGCCAAAGGCTCTTTGGCCGGGAAGTTGGCATGAATAGTTAGCCTATGGGTTCATGATTAAAAAGTACAAACAGCCAACATTTGCAAATACCTAATAGCATGCTCAATGATAATATTGAGTGAGTCCCTTTGAAATTCTTGAGTGTCCTCAGAGAGTTTTTTCACTTATTAAGTCCCTACTTAACAAAGATGAATCTTTATTCACTAGACTTCTCCAAATCATACAGTTCTCCATGGTTAGCTTTCTTTTCCAAAGACAATGTAGAAAATGGATTGCATAGAGAGTCTATAAGCTGAATATCCATTACCCACATCATGTCTTAAAATTTAATTTTCCCTCCTACGACCCTCGTCAAACAGAATAAACTGATTGATCAATAAGTTTGGCACAGCAGAGGTAGACAACTTATGGGTGTTACACCCATTTTAGTCCTTCGCATTCACCAAGGCACTCCTCCATGGTGGCTTGAAACTTGTCTTAAACAAAGGGGGCCATTTTGACCCCCAAGTTTGTATAAATACATTATGGGGTTCATTTTAACCCCCAAAGTGAAAAAAGAAACCCTCAATCTCTATGCTAAACATATTTCTGAGAATCTTAAGAAATTTCTGAGAATCGAAAGTATTTTTGTGGATTGAAGAAGTTTCATTTTCTCATTGAAATTATTTTTGGGGTGCTATTGGTGGTATTAGAAGACTTTTGAGTTAATTAGTAGCTCGATTGAGGTAACCAACATTGAAGATCAGAGATTGGGCAAAAATGGTCAGTTTGAAATCTTTATTTCAGTTTTATTTTTCCAATTTGAGATGTCTTCTGTGGGGTCTACTAGGGGTGGAGATCCGAGATGAAAATATTGTGTTAACTCGGATAAGAATGATAAGAATAAATACTGTGCAATTTTTGCGGACATGTTTCTAATGCAAGCATAAATAGATTTAAGAAACATCTTGCCAGTATTAGAAGTGATGTTGCCCCGTGTAAAAAAGTCCTAGAGCTTGTAAAGAAACAAATTTCTGAATACATTGAAGGTGAAAAGAGTAAAAAAAAATTCAAAACAAAAGGATATAGCATAATTAAAGTCAAGGGTCCATGTTTTTTATGATAATATTGACATTGAAGAAGAAGATGACGAGGGGGAATAAGAGGTAGCCGTGGTTGGTACTCAGAGCTCTAAGAGTAAGAGGGCTTTTAGGTCTAAGAAACCTAGTATGAGAGGGCTTATTGATAATTTTTTTACACCTGGCCCTGAGACAGTAATTGAGAAGGGGAAGGGAAAGAGAAAAAAACACGTGACACTTGAAAATAAATTTAAGGAAGAAATAGGCAGGGTGATTCAGTATATTGCTCGGTGGTTTTGCTATGCGGGCATTTCTTTTAACGCCGCTCGCTTGAATTAGCTTCCATATGATGTTGGAAGCAATTGGGCAATTTGAGCCAGGTTTGAAAGGTCCAAATCCATATGAGATTGGAGAGCCACTATTGAAGAAAGAAGTTGAGTATACTAAGGAATATCTCAAGACCCATAAGGAGGGGTGACCTAAATTTGGGGTTTCTTTAATGATAGATATGGAGCGATAGGAAGAGGAGTAACATGAATTTGTTGGTAAATTGTCCCTTAGGTACAGTTTTTTTCCAATCCATTGATGCTTCCAATGATATTAATGATGCTCATTATATATTTTCTTTCATTGACAAGGGCATTGAGGAGGTTGGGGAGGAACTTGTAATTCAAGTGGTTACAGATAATGCTGCTCCCAATCTAGCTGTAGGTCATTTGCTTCAACAAAAGAGGCCTCGCATATTTTGAACTCCTTGTGCTGCACATTGCGTGGATCTTATGCTTGAGGCCATTAGTGAGTTGGCTACTATTAACGGAGTTCTTTCTAAGGCTAAGGAGATTACAATTTTCATATACAATCAAAGAAGAGAGAGCTAGTGAGACCCGAGCTTACTAGATTTGCCACCTCCTACCTTAGTCTATAGAGCATGTATAGGAGGAGGATCGTATTAAGGTCTATGTTTGCTTCGGAGGAGTGGAGTAGGTGTAAGGGGTCTAAAGATGCCAAGGAAAGAAGGCACGGGATATTGTTCTTTCGAAATATTTTTAACGTGGGGTAAAGCATGCAATATTAGTATTTCTTCCTTTGGTGGGGCCATAGTGAGTCCGAGCCCAAGTCCATGTTTTTAATCACTGCATGCAACTAATACTGGCAGTCTTATAATTCAGCCATAAATTTGAATTCAGAACTCAAAAGTATCTATTCAGCACTCCTTTTCAGTGTATAAGATTCCTGTGTTTCAAAATTTATATTGGATAAATGATTACTGACAGGCACTAATTCAGAGTGTATTGCTGGATAACCGCATTATTCTGTTTCATTTAAATGGCATCTGTTGCATCAAAATATGACCCATGAAGAATATAACTAACCAATTATAAAACTTTCTCTCCATAAAATGCACATTTTTGCGGCTATGTTCTAATTTCTCAAACTAACTAAATGTTTGCAGTCAAAGAAACAGATCAGAGGTAAACATTGTTTTTTTCCTCTCACAGGATAGCCAATAATCAAATGTATTTATGTCTTATGGATCAAAAAAGAGTTCATGATAGAGAATGGGATGCTTTCGGTAGCAAAATTATCATTTATTAAGAGACCAGTCATTCTCAAGCTCACTAAAGATGATAATAATGTCAAAAATAAGGCAAATCATGATAGCCCTCTTAAATATTCTCCACTGGAATCAAATAATAATGGCAGCTGCACAATCAGTAAACGTTTTTGCAATTTAACAACAACTACCATGTCATGTAATAAGTAATCAATCACATGGGAAACACTTGAATTGCAAAGAGCGAAAATGCTAACCTTTATCGAGTTCAAGCTCGACAGAATCCAACTCCATCTCTAGAGTGGTCACAATATCCTGCAAATGATCCATGTGAGTATCCACAATATGAACAATCAAATTTGAAACTTTCTTGGGCACTGGATTATCAGCTTCCTCTGAATGATTCATAGTCAACAAAAATTCAAGCACATGCTCCCTAATCACAATTCCACATGATCCACCCTTGTCTTCATCTATCATCATATTTGGATTATCCACAATTGGGATCTCAGAAAGTAAAGATTGACCGGTAGGAGAAAAGCCCAATCTTGGCACTCGACCCAAAGAGACTGTAATCACCGAATTCTCGGTGATTCTAGCTGCAAGGCGGTGTGTGAATTTGCTAGCAGACGGACCTGGAGAATTAACCCTGAAAACCAGTGCCCCATCAACGTGGCCACAAAATGGGCCATTGCTAACTAGAGTGAGAATGTCCTGGAGCTTCAATGGCGGGCAAAGAACATCGATCAAATACTGAGCAGATAATGCAAGTTTCTGGTTTCCTTTTGGAAGTTCTACATGGTACCAACAAAACTCTCTTCCACTCCCTTCTCTTAAATCCCATTCCTTTGTGAAATAGTTACCCAACCCATCGAATCTATAAGCTTTTTGCTTCACTGCTCCTGGAAAGTGGGTCTTGTGTATGCGTTCTTCTCTGATTGGTGACCCCCCAGGTGTTTCTCTTTCTAGAAGTTCAGCATCCACATTGGCTTCTTCTGGAACGAGCTCCATTGCAGCAAAAAGGAAAACGTTTTTCTCTCTTAAAAAGTTAAAAAGCCTTCTTCCTCTTTCTCTTCAGACAAGTTCTTTAGGCCACGATAACATACAGAATTGAGAACCTAAATACAAGAAAATGAGAAAATCATTGAACAAGTGTAGAAAAAAAAACACCAACTCTGCAACTTAAGGATCAGAGTCATCAGACCATCCCTTGATTAAGGAATCTGAAAATTGCCCTAACAGTTCAGAGATGTGGAGAACAAAGTTTGATATATTGTGATGTGGGATGCATCATTTAGTAAATGAGAAAACCAATAATAATCTGAGAAATGCCCCCAATGATAGATTGTGATAAGCACAAACTTCATCACCAGATAGTTTTGTCAGACGTCACAGGCCTGACTTCAACTTAAATAAATGAATAAATAATTTAAGGCCCAACATCAAAATTACCATGAATTCCCTCGTTTTCCCACCAGAAAACAACCTGGCCTTACCCCAAAGAAGCAATTACCTGGCCCAACAATGGAGAAACCCAAATTTATCAAAAACCCAACTCTAAACAATCCCAAAAACCCAAGTTTATGCAGACGCAACTCCAAAACAAAGCAACCAATTATCCAAAAACCCAACTCCAAATCAATGCAATAAAACTTATCCAGAAACTTTTATAAAAAAAACCCATATCCAGAACAATGCAATAAAAATTAGCCAGAAACCCAAATTAATGCAGACCAACTCCCAAACAGAGCAACCCTCCAAAAACCCAACTCCAAATCAATGCGATAAAATTATCCTGAAACTAACATTTATCAAAAAAAACCCAAATCCCTAAGAATGCAACAAGAATTACCCAGAAACCCAAATTCATCAAAAAAAAAATCAAATCAATGCAATCAAAACTTACTAGAGAATCAAAAAATGCGATCAAGTGACGTTAATCTCCCTCTCGTGATGAATGAGCCATCGCAGAAACACCAATCCTTTTCTACATATCTCCAATGACGAATAGCCCAAAAAAAACCCAAATGCCATGTGAGAAAACAGCGACGTTTCCTCTCTTTCGATATTAAAAATTTAAATGTGGAAGTTTCCTCGCAGTTTCCTCCCTGTGCACCCCATCATACATCCGAAAATAGAAAAAGCACTCAAATATTAAAAATATGAATAGTTAATATGTTCAAAATCATGACAAGGTAAAAAATGTTGAGCAAAAACAACAAAATTGAAGGGGGTGAAAGAATCTGCAATTAATTGATAAAAACATTAAAACATCAAAATTAATGAAAAGGAATTACTTTTCATTAAGATTTTCCTTTTACTGGTATTTGAAGAGAATTTTAATGAAGCATCAATTGGTTTGTGTGACTTGAAATGAAAAATAATAATAATATAATAATAAAATGGATAAAGATAATGGAGGAGACAGAGATAGGTAAGTGAAACTCTGGACAAGGAATAGAGGCACCAGGAGGCAGTTGACGTGCTTTAACGAACCGCACACCTGCCGTACACTTTTTCATGGACGAGTTTGCCCCTAGTCCTCTTCAATAAGTGGCCCAACATCGCTACTGTCATTTCTTCCCACCCTTTGTCCCTCTCTCCAAAAACATAATTTTTTAAGCTTTTTTTTTCTTTTGGGTGCGGTTTGCATACGGATACATCCGGTGTAGAGATAAGGTGCACCACTAAATTTTATCGTGACATCTAATTTTGATGTAAAATGTTTTTAAGATTATCTCAAAATTTATTTTTATATTTAATTATAAAATTTAAAATTTTAAAAATAGTTAAAATCAAATAGATCTATAAACACATGAAAATTTTGAAAATGGATGTTGTAGATAATATGTTGTAAAATATACTATTTATGATATTTAAAATCTTTTTATTTTTCATAGTCATATATCTCGACATCGATGTCGAGATGATCAATCAAAAGGTTTTTCAACATTAAAACTACTTTTTTCGATGAATTTTTTAGGGGTATCTGTAGTTCTTCATTATAAAGTAGCATCCTTATATAAACTTTTTCCTTCTCTTTTATATTCTCTCTCTAAATACAGAGCTCATTATTTCATCTTCTCACATTCCCCTTTTAAACACTAAACATGTTCTTCTCCACCATCATATTAATCTCTCTAAAAATCCAACCCAATTCTGGTTTCATCTCATATTCTTTCTCTAGAAATGTAATCTCATTTTTTGCTTCGAATCACTCTCTCTAAAAACCAAACCTATTTTTTGCCTCCTCTCATTTTCTCTTTCTGGGACCCTAATCTCATTTTTGCCTTGACTCACATTCTCTCTCAACCCCAACCCCAACCCCATTCTTGCTTCTTCTTAAATGTTTTAGAAAGAGAATACGAGAGAAGGGAAGAAAAAATCGCGGGAAAAAAAGTGAGTGATAAGCTTTAAGATTTTGCTTTTAAAAGAGAGACAAATTAGTCTATTTACCCCTCTACAAAGAGTAAGAGAGCCAAAGTGAAAAACAAAATCTCACGAAGGCCTCATATCTTAAAAGAAAATTCCTATAAAGTTTTTTGTCTTAAAATAGCCTATTTTGTAATAGAAAAAGTTTATATAGAGCCGAGGTTCTAAACAATCAAATTTAAGTCTACCTCAAAAATTTCACTCGAAGATGTTGTTTTGATGCCCAAATATCTTCAAATTGATCATCTTGACATCAAGATGCATGGATATGAGAAAAAAATGGATTTCAAGTTTTGAAAATAGTGTATTCTGTAACGTATTTTGGACCGTCAATTTTCAAGATTTTCAAGTTTTCATAGATCTATCAAGCTATACTATTTTTGAAGCTTTAAACTTTATAAATATATTTTACGGCATCACAAAGATTTCCAGTATTGAAACCACATTTCTTGACACTATTTGAAGGTAGGCTCTAATTTGATTGTTTAGAGCCTAGGCTCTATACAAACCACACCCTTTTGGAATTGTTGAACTCAATGATTATGTAATTTACAAACAACAAAAGGTCAGGGTCGCCTAAGTTGTCCAACTTATACTACAAGAGTAAGGTGCTTCTCTAAATTTTGCTTCAAAGGTGTAGTTTCAGTGTCTTAAATTTTTTAATGGCTTGAAAATCTGAATTTACCTCTAATTAAAAAATTTTGAAATTTCAAAAATAGTACAGATCAAGCAGACTTATAAACATTTGAAATTCTTGAAAATAGGCTATTAAGATAACTTGTTATAATATATATACTATTTTTAGAGCTTGAAATTTTATTTTTTCTTCATTTCCATACATCTTGAGGTCGTGACAATCAATTTAATAGCTTTTCATCATTAAAACAATACTTTTTAGTGGATTTTTTAATTGCGCCATATAATATAAGGTTGACACCTTGTATAAAGTCTTTCCAATAGCAAAATACCATCCCCTCATCGATGATCAATTGTTGATATAATCACCCCTCGGCAATTAAGTCAATCAATGAATCCCATAAATTGCCCCTATTCGCAATGAATGAGAAACATGTAATTTACAATTAATTAAAAGGAAAAGTTTATATAGAACCTACCTCAAAATTTTCACTAGAAGAGGTTGTTTTATGCCCAAATATCATCAAATTGATCATCTCAACATTAAGATGCATGAACATGAGAAAAAAATGGACTTCAAGTTTTGGTAATAGTGCATATTGTAATGCATTTTTGGACCATCAATATTCAAGTTTTCATGGATCTGCTCGATCTACACTATTTTTTAAGCGTTAAATTTTATGAATAAATATGAAAATATAATTTAAGGCTATCACAAAACTTTCCAATACTAAAACTATATTTCTCAACATTATTTGAAGGTGGGCTCTAATTTGATTGTTTAGAACCTCAGCTCTATACAAACCGCACCTTAATTAAATTATATTTTCCATTCAATTTTTATACCCAACGAGGAAAAAGAAAAATTATAAGGTATAAATCTAATACGCTTTACAAGTTGGGTGTTAAATACCAATGATTTTTTTTTCTATGATTTATCAAATAGTGATTAAAGTTAACAATTTTTTGGGAACATCTTATTATGATTTTCAAATCTATTTTATCGTCATGAGAGCCTTTTTCCAACTATATGTAATGTAACTTAGAATGAAGTTTCCAATTTCGAATGTAAACCTCTTGTAAACAACACCTCATACTTGACTTGAGGGCATAGCTAAGTAGAAGATATTTTGTTTACTTTCGACATAATTACTCATACATTAAGTCTACAGTGCATACTTTTAAGGAAAAATTACAAAAAACCCTTTTAAAATGGACTTTTTACGTACTTTATCCCACCCAGCTTTTCCTAACAACTTCTCACAAAATATCATATTTCCTAGCAAATACCCCCTATACAAAAGTTATTTTTTTTTTAACGAAAATACCCTTCCATCATGTAACAAATCATTTTCGGATCCAATAAAAGGAAACGGCAAACCGGCAACATGCGATTGCTCACTTCAAAACGCCCCGCCGGACCGCTACTTCAAAACGCCGAACTACCCCTTCAAAATGCCGGACCGCCATATCTAAACGCCGGACTACCCCTTCAAAATGCCGGACCGCAACTTCAAAACACCAGACCGCCCATTCCAGCAAAAAATAATCGCCCAACCATAACCACGAAATGCCAGACCGGCCATTCCAGCAAAAATAATCACCAAACCATCTGTTCAAAATGTCAGACCGCCATCTCCAACGAAAATAATTTGTTATGTGAGAGAAGGGTATTTTCGTCTTGTTCAAAATGTCAGACCGCCCTCTCCAATGAAAATAATTTGTTAGGTGAGGCAAACGTAATTTCGTCTAAAAAAAATGAATTTTTGTATGGTGGTATTTGCAAGGAAAAATTGAGTGGGGGTAAAGTGAGTAAAAAATCCATTTTGGGGGGGGGTTTGCAATTTTCCCTACTTTCAAAACCTAAGCTTGAGAATAGATATTACCGATTTTAAGATTGTGTTGTTTGTATAAGGTTGCAACTTTAAACAATCAAATTAAGGTGTACCCTCAAACTTTGTCATGAGATACAATTTTGGTGTCGAAAAATCTTATGATGGTGCAAGAATCATATATTTGATATTTCATAAATTAATTTTTTTTTTAAATACTTTAAGTACCGAAAATTACATAAACTTATATCTCTTTGCCATCATAAAACTAACTCTTAGATACCAATGGACCATAAAAAGTTTATATTATTAGTACCATCCAATGACATGATTGTTGATGACAGTGGACAATAAAAAGTTTATATTATTGGTACCATCCAATGAAATGATTGTTGATGACAATGAGAATGCACAATGGGAAAACTATGGTGTTAACTTGTGCAATAAAGTGATTAATAATGAAGGAAAGGTTGAGCCCCCAAATATGATGCGACCTCAAGTTGCTTTCTACTCTGTCCCAATTGGTATCCATCATGTCATTAGGTGTTCATGGCAATATGGTTTTTCAAAGTCTATTCGATTATAGTACAAGCCTATGAGGTGTTTCAGGTGGGAGGAGGAAGACATAGATTTTCGGTATTTATCCAAAAAATAAATAGATATATAGATCGAAAATAATTTCGAGTTTTGAAGTCATGCAAATCTTGAAAATGAACAGTCTAGATAATGTGTTGTAAGATGTATTATTTTTAACACTTGAAATATCTTTTTTTCTCCATATCTATATATTCAAAGGATTATAGAGGTAACTTTAACTCTACATTTAATTGTCTCAAGACCCTCAACATTATATAAACTTTTTCCTTTAAGATTAGGACATAGGAACAATTTGTCTTTTTTTTTTTTCTTGATCAACAAAAGTTAAGAAACATGATTGATGATTCAAGGGAAAAGTTTATATAGAGCCGAGGCTTGAAACAATCAAATTAGAGCCTACCTCAAAAGTTTCACTAGATGAAGTTGTTTTGATGCCCAAATAACCTCAAATTGATCATCTCGATATCAAGATGCATGAACATGAGAAAAAAATGGATTTCAGATATTGGAAATAGTATATTTTGCAACGCATTTTTGGACCGTCAATTTTCAAGATTTTCATAGATCTGTCCATCTACACTATTTCTTAAGCTTTAAATTTTATACATAAGATGGAACTATATTTTAAGGCTATCACAAAGATTTTTCAGTATTGAAACCACATGTCTCGATACTATTTGAAGGTAGGCTCTAATTTGATTGTTTAGAGCCCAGGCTCTATACAAACCGCACCCTTCAAAGTAATGTACATGAAGGGTGCTTTTGCCTATTGTCCGTTTGCCAATCGCATTTGGAGGTGGTTTTTTGACAAGCTTGGGGCTTCATTGGTAATGCCACTGTCGGTGATTGGGGTTCTTCATAATCTTTCAGTTACTTTACCAATGACTGGGAGTATTGTATGACAAATCTCTAGAGGTGTCATTCGGTGGAAGATCTGGAGAGAGAGAAATAGAAGAATGTTTGAAGGTATCTTT